CTTCAGATTGACCGACCAGAGAACAGAGCTGGTATCATGATCAGATATCACCATCTGTGCCAGCTGCATCTGTAGCCTGTGTGTGTGTGTACTGGTATAAATGGTTTATGAGGACACAAATGTGTATAATGACATGGGTACTACAACGTGTTTTATGAAATTCAAAAATTGCCAGTAGTTTTCTGTAAGGGGTAGGGTTGGTGTAGGGCGATAGAAAATACACTTTGTACAGTATAAAAACTATTACGCCTATGGAATATCCCCATAAAACACGGAAACCAGTGTGTGTGCGCGAGAGGGAGAGAGAGACTGTGGACAAACAGGTAATTTAACAGCAAACACCAGAAATGTGATTGCAAATGAATTGTATTGTAACTATTTTTTTATTTTTTTTTATTTTGTGTTTTAGTTTAGCATTTTTGAAGTGATAGATCTTTTTGCATATGTGTACAGTACTGTGTATTTACTTACGGTTACATGTAGGTACGATTTTTTTATTTATTTAATTTAAAAGAAAAAGAAAATAAATTACTACTTTTATTCAGCAAATTTGCATTACATTGGTCAAAAGTGACAGTAGAGACATTCATAATACTACAAAAGATTTCTGTTTCAAATATAAACTTTCTGTTAATCAAATAATTCTGAAAAAATAGTTTCCACAAAAAAACATGTTTTGTTTTCAACATTGATACAGACAGACAGATACAGACAGACAGATGATAGACAGACAGACAGATGATAGACAGACGATAGACAGACAGACAGACAGATGATAGACAGACAGACAGACGATAGACAGACAGATAGACAGACAGATGATAGTCAGACAGACGACAGACAGATGATAGACAGACGACAGACAGACAGACGACAGACAGACAGATGATAGACAGACAGACAAATGACAGACAGACAGACAGACAGATGACAGACAGACAGATGATAGACAGATGATAGACAGACAGATGACAGACAGACAGATGATAGACAGACAGATGACAGACAGACAGATGATAGACAGACTGACAGAAAGACAGACAGATGATAGACAGACAGACAGACAGATGATAGATAGACAGACAGACAGACAGATGATAGATAGACAGACAGACAGACAGATGATAGATAGACAGACAGACAGACAGATGATAGATAGACAGACAGACAGACAGATGATAGATAGACAGACAGACAGACAGATGATAGATAGACAGACAGACAGACAGATGATAGACAGACAGACAGACAGACAGATAGATAGATAGATCACCCACCAAACTATGAGTATTAGCAGATGTTGTCTTAAATTATTGGATATTAGCTCACAAATGTTGTATCAGGACATCCATGTTTAAACGTGTTAAGTGGCTTTTTCTGCACATGGATTCACATCATGTCTGTTCATTCATCATTGACCCAGAGGTGCAGGTGCTCTGAACTAGCAAGCGTTTAATTGGTGCTTCTGAATAAGGCATCACTTGATGTCATTCACATGATTGCTAGCATGTGAAATGATTATGAATTGCTCTGTAGTCATAAAGCATCTGCATCGTTCCTCAAAGCTAATTCAAGTTCCTCTACATTAAGGAGATTTCCATTGAGGATTTCCACGGCTCCAAAGCGCACAGATTTCTTTTGATTGCTCGTACGCTGCTGCTGGAATAGAGCTGTTGTTTTGTGGACGTCCCTTTTTAGGGGCTGATTTTCTCCTCTGCCGTCATGAGGAATCTCTCCACAACTGGAATCAAAGTTTTATTCTCAGATGTCTTTGTGAAATTGGATAGTTCTAAAAAACATTATTTCTTTGCAAACTTTGCGAAGTCTCTGGAGCTGTGAGTCATATAAGCTTTTATTACTGCTGTTTGCTAAGGCAAACATCGCCGATACATACGTGCGGTTTGGGATTTAAACGCAAAGTACACAAAATTTTGCTTGTGGTTCGAACATGAATGATGCCTAAAGTCAGTGAAAAAATGATGCAGAAATATAACACATTAGTTAGCTAAAGAAAATCTGATGATGCAACTTGGTGTAGTGTCCAGATACATTTTGGAGCAACTTGAATGTGCAACCTCTATTTGTTTCATTGTCACATTATCCCATCCCTACAAGAATAAACCATCTATGTGTGCTGTTCTCAGAGATCTGATTTCAGTCTATACGGAAGGCTGATAATGAGAGAAGAAGAGTTAAGTGGATTGGAAGGAGACAGAGCGAGAGATAAAAAGTGGACGGAGACAGATTGATCCACCTCACCCCTTCTGCATTCAGCTGCCGTTTCTTCAATCTAAATGATTTGGGCAGTTTTGCTCGAGCTTATTCCCCATCTGCCTCCATCCTCACTGTATCACAGAATGAGCAGATGAGACTAAAAGTGGTTCAGATCGCTCATGTTTGAGCGGAGTGAATGATGACGGACAGTGACGGACAGTTTCTGTGTCTGTGTAGATATATTCATCCGAGCATTAGATGTCTCTTATTTGATTTGGAGCAGATCTCCACCTTCCTTCAGTGTCTGTCTTGGATCAGAAAGTGTTAGTTTGATGCACAGGACATTTATGATTATTACTCATGGCACAATTTTCTTGCACCAGCCAAATCTGTATGACTTACACCGAAGTGCTGTGTGAAGAGAAAATCACAGCCGATCAAAACGTATTTGATGTTTAATACAGAGTTAAGAGGAGCAGGATTTTGCAACTATATTTTACTGTAGGCTAGTTAGGACAAGAACTCTTAAAGGGTTAGTTCACCCAAAAATGAAAATGCCTTCATTAATCACTTACCCTCATGTCGTTCTAAACCCGTAAGACCTTCGTTCATCTTCGGAACACAAATTAAGATATTTTGGATGAATTCTGAGAGCTCTCTGACCCTGCATAGACAGCAAGGGACCTACCACGATCAAGGTCCAGAAACATAGCAAGGAGATCGGTAAAATAATCCATGTGACAGGGGTTCAACCATAATTTCACGAAGCTACGAGAATACTTAATGTACACAAAGAAAACAAAAATAACGACTTTATTCAACAATTCGTCTCCTCCGCGTCACCCTGGTGCCATTTTAGAGTCAGCCAGTCTGTCAGCTGCGTCATGCGGATACGTCGTTTTCATTCAAATCAAAGCGTAAACAACGTAGAAAATGTATCCGTGTGGCGCAGCTGACACAGAATAGCATACGCTGTTTACGTTCATTGGATACTTTTCAAAAGGGTGACGCGGAGGAGACAAATTGTTGAATAAAGTCGTTATTTTTATTTTCTTTGCGTACAAAAAGTATTCTCGTAGCTTCGTAAAATTATGGTTGAACCCGTCACACAGATTATTTTACCGATCTCCTTGCTACGTATCTGGACGTTGATCGTGGTAATTACATTGCTGTCTATGGGAGCGTCAGAGAGCTCTCAGAATTAATCAAAAATATCTTAATGTGTGTTCCGAAGATGAACGGAGATCTTACGGGTTTGAAACAACATGAGGGTGAGTAATTAATGACAGAATTTAAATTTTTGGGTGAACTAACCCTTTAACGTTGATAATCGATTAACAGATGACGTGATCACTTATACAGGGGGTACGGAAAGTATTCAGACCCCCTTAAATGTTTCACTCTTTGTTATATTGCAGCCATTTGCTAAAATCATTTAAGTAAATTTTTGTTCCTCATTAATGTACACACAGCACCCCTGTGATTTGCTTTTTGTTTGTGTTTTATTCTTTTTGATGTGTATTTGAGTTTTTTGTTTTGCTTTTTGTTGCTTGTGTTGGTTTTCTTTTGTGGTTCGCTTTGTGTTTTATTGGTTTTGTTTTGTTTCTTTTGATTTTTTTTTTTAATGGTTTGCCTTTTATTTTTTTTCTTCTTTTTTCTTGCTTTGGGTTTGTTTTGGTTCGTGGATTATTTTTGTAGTGCTAGTTTTGGTATGGTTATGATATTATTTTATTTTTGGTTTAGCAGTGAAATGCTGTTGTTGAACTGGGGATTGCATCTGAATGATTTTGTTTCAGTGTGTGTCTTTGTTAAAATGGACTCTCTCTCACAATCGGCACATAATGACAGCCAGTGCTCAAAGGAGTGATTATTTTCTCCACAGCATAGTTTGCTGGGCACTGTAATCACCTTCAACATCTCAAAACACAGCACTCACTTGCTGTAAATTCCTGTCATGCACTGTCTGTCCGAATCAAGTTTATTATATTCTAGACGTCATTTGATTGATAGACACTTCAGGTGCATGAAGGGTCGAGCACAGTGTTTCCTGCTAAATGAATGGAGTGTATAAAGGGATTGAGTGTGAGTGTGAGTGTGTGTGTGTGTGTGTGTGTGTGTGTGTGTGTGTGTGTGTGTGTCTCTCGTTGTGAGATCAGCACCTCAGCACCTCTGTTTGAGGAGTGAAAGATAGAAAAAGAGGAGTGTGAAAACTGAAAAACAGGGAAGTCGTGGCCTAATGGTTAGAGAGTCGGATATAGGGAGTGAGTGTGAGTGTGTGTGTGTGTGTGTGTGTGTGTGTGTGTGTGTGTGTGTGTGTGTGTGTGTGTGTGTGTGTCTCTCGTTGTGAGATCAGCACCTCAGATTACTCTCTGCGCTGTCTTACATCGATCGCTCAGATGCTGCTGTGTTAGACTCACTGTTTAGATTATATGGCATTGAGCAATGAAAAAACATGAAACACGCACACTCATGCACACAGACAATGTGAGATGTGTGCCTCTGTCCTACCCGATATATATTGTGTCCTCAATCCATAAAGTGGAGACCTTCTGTATATTTGTTGATTAAAGTAGAGCTGGTTTAGAGATGACCGTTGATGCTGCTATTTTTATGGTGCTTTGCAGTACATTGAATTAAACCTTGTTTTTCAGACAAAAAAATACATTTACCAACTGGTGCATTATTGCCACACACTATTGATATGGGCTTGTGCATTTAGGTCGTGTATTGTAGCGTTGTGTATATTGTATTTTTGTCTAGTTTTTTACCTGTGTATGTTTGTGTAGGGAAATGACGTAATGGAAGAGCAAGACCTGAGAGAAATTGGCATCATGGATCCGGCACATCGCAGGAAGATCCTCAGTGCTGCACGTTCTCTACCAAAGGTTTGTGTGAGTCTACAATTCTTTGCAGAGGATTGTCACATGATGCTAATAATCACTTGCCTTTAACAGTATTATTTTGTAAGATTTTCATCATTTTATTGATTCATCATTTATCATTTCATCAGTTTATCTGTACTGGGTCTGAAGTAAGTTCTCTGTTGGTTTTGAACTCTGCAGGTGAAAGCATTAGGCTGTGACGGCAGCACGTCCCTCGCTGCGTGGCTGGACGTCCTGGGTCTTCAGGAATACCTGCAGAACTTCCTGTCCAGCGGCTATCGCACGCTAGAATGCGTGAAGAACCTGTGGGAGCTGGAGATTGTCAATGTGAGAACGTGATGCATTCAAACATTTACAGTATAGACTTTTTTGTTGTCGTTTGTTTTATATCAAGTATTATATGAAGTATTTACATAGTTGGCTTTTACTTTATTTTAAAAAATTCAATTACTTGACTCTGAATTATTCGGTTGAGAGCAGGGTATTTATGTTGCTTAATAGACATTGTGTAATTGTTGCCTTTGCGTGTGTTTTATGTCTGTTTTTAGGTGCTGAAGATCACGTTGTTGGGCCACAGGAAAAGGATTATTGCATCATTAGCTGAACGGCCGTATGAGGAGCCTCCGGTCAAACCACCCCGCCTTTCTCAGATCAGAGTAAGTACTGCTGTATGCTATAATATTTTATGATATTATGCATTCTAGAATAGATTTTAGGCTTTACGTAGACCATTAGGAGTAAACAAAAACAAGACTCTGAGGGTGGAATTACAGTTTGTTCAAAATGTAGTGTTTTTTTGTTGTAGGTTTGGTCTCTATGAAAATATTATCAATATTTTGGCATGACAAATTGATTAATTTTGCTGAGATGGCATGTGTAATTTTAGTTGACTAGTAATTAGCAAAATGAGAAAAAAAGTCAAACTGTTAATAGACCAAATATTTGATCTGTAAATGTGCATTAATTTAATTATGTTTAAAAAATTCAAAAGTTTTGTCAATTCATAAGATTAACAATTGGGTCACGTCTACACATCACCATGCCTTCCAGAGTTTTAGTTTACTAGAAATTTGCAAGATGTGTTTTCTGTTTCCTCTGCTGAATCGTCCAGGTCGAAAACAGTGTCACTTATTGAACAGACCGCATTTCTGTCTTTCACAGAAGGGTATTGGATGAATCTCACAATGAAATTGCTCATATCTCACACCAAAATAATAATATTTTTTAAAAAATCAAAAAATGTATTATATTTTGTATGAAGAATATACAATAAATGAATTTTAAGGTCCTTTTAAGGTTGCATTTCCCTAATTTCCCCCTTATATTTTTTGAACAAGCTAACGCTGCTGCTAAGGAAGCACTTTTCACAGATATTAAAGTGTTCCATACCACCCTCACATCTTAAAACTACCATAGCATCTTATCTCATCATCAAATGGAAAGAAGAATGGAATCTGAGAACGAGCAACGAACTATATGAAATTAACCGAACTGTGGGTAAAAGTTGCATATGTTCAGTAATTGCTGAGATGAGATACAGTACATGATGCCAAATAGGACATTCCAGAATCACACACAAGTTCTTAATATCATTAAAAAAAGTCTACTGCTATACTGTTCATGACAGAGTCCAGGATTTCTTTAACTAATATTTTATTAAATTATGCTGGTTTAAGTTCTCTTAGGGAATTATATTTCTCAGCAAATGTTTTCAAATAGCTTTTATCTAAAGAAAACTTTATAAACCTCACATATAAACATGTCACTCGTCATGCAAAGGAAGCTGGCATAATGTTAAAAACTTCCATTGCTATAATTCAAAATAAAACAACATAGATTATTTTTTGTAAAAAAAAATCTGTTATGTGAAATTCAATTTCAAATCAGTTTCTTTAGAAAAGTGTGGGACGACATTTTCTGTTTCCTCTGCGGAAACATCGAGGTCAAGACTGCACTTCTGTCCCTCACAGAAGGATCTTGACATTTCACAATAAATTTGGTCACATCGCACCCTGAAATAAAAATACATAAACAAATAAATCAAATAAATTACATTTGCATGATGAAAATATACGTTTTTTTTTACTTCCCATCACTTCCCCTTATCTCCAGTACCATAATGCGAAATTCAATTTAATTCAATTCTCTTTGTCCACTAGAAATTTAGAGGAAGTTTAGTGTTTTCTGTGTGTTTTGCTCTGCTCGATCTCCCAGGTTGAAAACAGTTTGCCTTATTGAACAGACTGCACTTCTGTCCCTCACGGCCTTATTTTTATTCACAACAAATGAAATCTGGCATCAACTCTGATTGCAGTCTATAATAAAGTGCAGTATACTGTAAACTCTCTCTCGAGCTCATTTCTGGGCAAGGACATCTTTCTGGCTGGCTGATCTCCCTCATTGAACACTTCTTTTGCAGTGTCAGGATCTCATGTCCCAGACCTCGTCTCCTCTCAGTCACTCAGACTCCTACACGCGCTCCATGGATCCCCTGTTACCTGCTGGTGATTCTGGAAGGAGGAGAGGTCCCGACTCAGAATATGACGTGGCCATTCGACAGCGGGCCAATGACAGACCACAACCACAAGTGAGTCACGATTCCTTCTGTTTCTGCTCAAATGATGCACATTTCGGTCAGTTTATCCTGAAATTGTTCTTCCTCTCTAAAGGAGAGATTTGAGGAACGTCAGCGGGGGCCTCGCTTGACCTTACGACCCCCGAGTCTGGCGGCGCCGTACACACCGGTCCAGAACTGGCACCATCAGCCCGAGAAGCTCATCTTCGA